ACACAGCACAGTACGCAACCTCTCGACTGCCTGTGCTGCTCTGCGGATGCGCTTATCATCACGCCCGTCCGCCTCTTCCCCCCTCCCCCCCCCCAGCTCCTGGACCCACAAGGCAGGCACAGGCCCAGAGTCTTACGGCCGTCGTGGTTGCGTAAGAGTTCTCCTCCCTCTTCCCCTGCCGCTTTGGTTCCTGCAGTTGCTGTACTCCCCCACCTCACATCGCCGGCGTCTGCGCCATACCTCCACTTTGCGCAACTTCAACTTAGCGGGATCCACGTCTTACGCACGCCTCCTGCGCCTCCATCCATCCATCCACCCATCCACGGGAGGTTTATTTCAGACATCTTGACGTTGGTTACATGGCTCTTGCACCACGCCCCAAACTGCCTAGTACCCAGAACCGCTCTACTATGCCGTCTACAGTCTGCACTTCCCGGGACTACCTTCACCGGAGGTATCGTCTGCCGTCCCAACTGGTGCGCACGTGCTACACCCACCCGCCGTAAATATGCCCAACAACCCTCCGTCTCTGACTATGTGTTTCGTTGTGCCCCAGTAGCACCCGCTTGTCTCCACTTGACTTGCCGACAATATACGCATGCACATCGAAAGCAATTGAGCAACCAAACAAATGCCGTGAGCTGTAGGGCCATGCTGCTGGTCAAGTCCAACAAGCGCAAACTTCTGCCGGCTTGTTTCCTCTGTGCTTTGCTGATCCCTCTCTTCTCAACCGCGGCCCCCAATCAATGCTGGAACCCTGTTTCTGTACCTGCAGGCCGCGCTAGCCCTTCTTGTCAACCTGCAAAAGGTGAGCCCTAACTCCCATCTCCCCACCCGGACTCAGGCCGCCGATCCTATCATTGTGCAGCCGCAACCGAATAGCATACTTACTTACTTGCTGTGTGCGCGCTAATAGTAAAGAGCCTGTTCCGTGCTTTTCAAACATGTTTTGCCATGGGTAGGCCGACACGAGCCCGGCAAAGACTAGCCCGCACATCCGATCTAAGACATCCACGCAATCATGCTGCCATACAGAATACCCCAAAGGTATGATGCGACAACGAGAGTGCTGGTTTCGCAGTACGAACGTCTCTACACTGCCCGTCTAGCCGGGTTTGCTCGTGTGTTTCGTGAAACAGCATGCCCAAGGTTGAACAATGCCCAAGCTGCTGCTATGCACGTTCATTGGTAGTAGCCAGTTATCGAATCGACAAAAGCCCATGCTTTTGCAAGGACCGCGCAGAGCCTATTAGCTTGGTCTTCTGCTGGCCAGGTACAAGGTCTTTTGCCGAACTTAGATGCTCACACCCGAATTCGCTTGCAACCTTTGTTGTTTTTCCCAACGAAAAGAAACAAGTGTACTAATCCATCTGATGTCTCAAGCAGGTTCCACCCACTATGTTTGGCATCCGCGGGCATCGCATCTTGAACCCAATTTACCATGTGCACAGCGAGTTTTATCGAAAGTAAATCTTCTTCTTATTGAATCATAACGCTTCCTCCCACTTCAGGTAAAGAGTAATGAGTAGGCTATGTATCGGAGACCGTTGTGGTTTGTCGTTAAACGTCGTTGGAAGAAAGTTTCGCTTACAATAGACCAACGAGCTGTACGTACGCGAACTTTGAACTGCTCGGATTCAGGGTCGAAATAGCCGGATTAGCATTCCCCAAGTAAACTCAAACCGAACATGACCTCGCACTAGCACTTCTGACACGCGAGTGCGAAATGTGAATTCTACTCTATAACTACCAACTGTGATCATGTCAGGCGCGAAACTCTGAATACAAACTGCGCCGTGGAGCTCAACTCAACGTTTTGTTTTAGCTTTCGGGCTGCAGTCCAACGCTGCTGTGAGAGGGGGCAGGGTACTCGACTTCTCACAACATGGATAACCCTTCATCCGGCGGTATGTCGTATGACGGAGTTTTCCATTGATGCATCTTGGGCAGCGATTACAAAGCACGTGCAGTACTATGTATACTATACGCGATTAGCGGTTCATCTCGCAACAGTGAACCGATGCAACGATTTAACGATTGCCGCCGACTGTCGCGTTTGTATCACAGAATATCACCTTCACAGGCACATTGAAAGTGCTTGTCTTCTCTGCCGGCGCATGCAATCAACTCCCGTCAAATGATGACGGGGCCGAGCGCAGACGACAAGAGGTAGCGGTCAGTGCGTCCCCACAAACCCCAGCTCTATGGGGCGTTGGCACAGTTCAATAAGAGATATATGTATGTAAGATGTAGGCACGTAGCCCATCAGAGCCGGCTGGTCATCATATTCACGCCACAATCGCTCGCTGCTTAGGCTGAAGTGTAAGACGGACCAACCTTAATCTGTCCCGCCTTGTCGTCGTCCAACGCCAGTATAAGTACGGCCCATCTTAGCTCAGCGCTCCTCAAAGAGATTGGGCTACGCATCGGGGTTAGGAAGCCACACACGGCCCGTAAAGGCAAGGGTTGCGATCCTTTTAGACTGACGATCCAGAGCCACACACATATACGCCGCACTACCAACAGCTATGAGCCGTGCCGCATCCAGCATGAACTGCACGCCTAACAACTGTCGCGAGATCGAAGGAGCGCGGCGCGGCGTTGAGATGCAAATTGGTGGGTAGTGCCCCGTGAGGCCAACCATCCTTCTCGGCTACTCCCTTCAAACGGGCAGGTGCTCGCATCGTAGACCCTCCTCATTGCCAAATTTTTTTTCTCCTCTTTGTCTCTCTTTTTCTACTTACGACGACCCCATGCACACAAAAACAGTCGCCGTTCAATCCATCGCGCGCTTGCCTTATTTTCTTTTAGCCCCCATACAAGGCACTAATTGTCCCGTAGCAACATCCATAAGGCCGCGTCGGTATTAACCCGTGGGCCCCCATACGCTACGCTCTTCAAGTAAGTATACACACCCCAAAAGCAGTTTAACCGCCCCTTTTTTTCTCCTTTCCCCTTCCTTCTTTCTGGCCTCTTCCCTCTTTCTTTGCAAGGAAGTAGCCGTGCGCTACACCAACTATGTGTGCATGCTACATGCATACACGGGCGCGTTGCGGTTATTACCGAAGATTTTGATTGATGATGACGCCGTGGCTAAGAAAGCGAGCAAGCGACAGCCCTCTTTTTATTTACCCTTTTCCCAAGCACCAGGATCAGGATCAGATTATCCAATGCCTCTCGTGAGCGCGCTCAGGGCGTTGGCATGGTGGACCGGCTACGTATGTACCAACCACATTATCCCAGTCATGTATACACCCCGGGCTGCTAGATATTATACATGGTGTGAGAGCGTCGTGTGTGCCAAGCTTGAGGTTGCGTCAGCGGAGTAATGGGTAGATGGGTTGGTGCTAAACACGTATATGGTTTTGGGAACGGATGATGCGGAATTAGAAGGCGCGCCGGGGGGGTGGGTGTATTCAATGCATTGTCAGAATCCCAGTTAGAGGGGTCCAACCAAAAGGAAACTAGAGAAATAGAAGGAAAAAGAAATAACATCCGCAGCGGATGTTGTGTGGTTGTTGTTGTTGTTTTTTCCCGCCGTTTTTCAGTAGTATTGCTTTTTTTCGGCGTCTAGTGTGTATACCCAAATTCACCGCGATAATGGGACGTGGGGACGTGGGGGGGCAGGTTGATTATCTTCGCTCGGACAAAAAGAAAAGACTTGGCACACACAGACACACTCGCAAATGCCGTAAGCCTTCCTTTTCTTTTTTCCCTAGAGTAAGTAATCCTTGGGGCCCAGATCTTCTTCATGAGAAAGACAGTATCGAAACCAAACCCACGTCTGCCGAGTACTTGTAGCCAAACGCATGGGTCATAAATTTGATTGTCGCGAGATACAGCCCAATGTAGGAAAAAAAAACACATAAAAATCTTGAAACAAGGGGGGGATCGGGATTTTTGGT